CCTATTCAGAAAGTTTTGGAAATCCAAAACGTCTCGGGGAAATTAATATGCATATACATCCTTCATCCTTCAGTTGTATTTGGGTTTCCGAATTTCTCTTTTCTTCAGATTTGAATCAGAACGTGTGAAATTCCAACAGCTCGTGGATTTTCCCACATAACCTTCCTCTATCAGATCTGGTTGTTTATCACAGGATTTTAGTGGCAAAAAGAACACGTTCGGTGTTTGTGCTTTGGCACAGACTGACAGATAAACCTGAACAAACATACATACAAACAACCAAATAAACGAATGCAGATACATCCCACAAAGTGAATGAATGAGTCATACAGTAGTAGTAGTAGTAGTATAGCCACTGCGGCCAGAGCTGGTATGTTCAGTTGTTGTTGTTGTTTTTTTGTTTTGTTTTATTGTTGTTTTTTTAGGGGGGAGGGTCGTTTTTTTTTTAGGAGAAGGAAGGCAAATTGGGCTCGATTGTTCTGAGTGTTTCAGCCGGACAGTCTCGGTCTTTCTCATCACAGCATTTTGGAAAAGTACAGAAATAACAAACAACAAAAACACACTGTAAACAGGCGCACAGAAGGAGAAGCATTAAACTAATACTCTATCTCATTGATATTATTATTATTATTATCATTATTATTATTGTTATTATTATTATTATTATTATAGACTCCTACAACCCAGCCTACATTCAGAATGTAAGAAAATTTACTACGCGGGAAATGTTTAATTTAAATACATTATGAATGACAGTAGACAATCAATACGTCAGGTTATATTGAGACATAATAATAATAATGATAATAATAATAATAATAATAATAACCAATTCCACTGCCTGGTATTGGCTTTAATTTGTAACTCTGTAGCAGGTGTCTGCCATTTCAGCCCTCGCTTGCCACGAGCAGCGAAGAGCCCCTGTTGCTTTTGTTATGATGGAAAGATGGCGTTTATTTACCCACAATGACTGCGACTTATCATTATGCCCGAAGCTTGTTTTTATGTTTTCCCCCCGCGGACACTTCGTGTCCATATCACACTCTGTCTGTGTTTAATAACACATTACATAACAACACACTAGCGCCTTGGTAGAAGAAATAGAAAAAGCATTTTCGTCTTGATGTCGCTGTTTTTTTTTTTTTTGCGTTTTTTTTTTTTTTTTTGGTTAGTACACACCAGCCGTCTCCCAACATGCTTGGCAGTTCCGCGCCAGGAAACCTCTTCATACAGCTCTCTGCGTATTTTTAGTGCTGGAATGCCACTGTATATTCCCACTGTGTGTCCCACGGTCCAGCATTTAAAACTGGCTGAGATCCAGTTCCGGGCGGTCCAGCACAGAGAATCAAACAAATAAGAAGGTGTTATACCTCCTTAAGGGGTTCGTGTTTTGCACAGAATGATGGACTGGGGTCACTGCACAGGAGTTTGTCCTCCGTGGTGAGGAGGAGTGTCCCCGTACATGTCCTCCCCTCCTGGTATCTGTCCCCCAGCGGGTGTCATCCTCTTCTCCTTCTGCCGCCGGTTACAAAACCAAACCCTCACCACCTCCTTCTCCAGCTGCAAGCTGTCCGCTAGGGAGTTGATCTCTGCTGCCCCAGGTTTAGGACATTTCAGAAAATGGCTTTCCAGAGCCCCCTTGACGCCCACCTCGATGGAGGTCCTCTTTTTCCTTTTCCTCCCCTGTGCCGCGATTTTATCCAGGCTGGTGGGGCTCCCAGAGGTGGAGTCCGCCTCCTCCAGCCACTTGTTCAATAGGGGCTTGAGTTTACACATGTTTTTGAAACTGAGCTGAAGCGCTTCGAACCTGCATATGGTGGTCTGAGAAAAGACGTTTCCATACAGCGTCCCGAGAGCAAGTCCCACATCCGCCTGAGTGAAGCCCAGCTTGATACGCCGCTGTTTGAACTGCTTGGCAAACTGCTCCAACTCGTCGGAGGTCGGTGTGTCCTCGTCTGACTGATCCTGATGGCCCCCGTGCTGGTGATGGTGTGAGAGAGACTGCTGGTGGGCCCCAGGGCCGCCTCCGTGTTCACTGAGATGCGGGCTGTGGCTGTGGTGGTCCTCATCCCGCAGGGGGTGGTGGTGCATCCCCCCTTGCTCTCCCCCCGGCATCAAACCGAAACCGGACTGGGAATACACCAGGCTCTGGCCCTCAGATGTCGCCATACCGGGGATGTGCGTGGTGGCTGTGCTGGTTCGCCATGCTCTGGCGTCGTGATGCGCCTGCTGGTGCGCTAGGTGAGGGTGTCGCTGTTGTTGCTGCTGTTGCTGCAGACTGCTAGAGTTCTGCAGCTCCTCCCGGTCACTGTCGTGCAAAACGGGCTTCACGTCCTGTTCTCCAAGGGGACTAGATGGCCACGGCGCTCCGCTGTCACTGTGAGAGAGCGCCGTTATCCACTGGTGCGCGTGGCTGAGCGGATGTCCACCGCCCGGTAACGTGCTGTAGTCGTTCTGGAGCAGAGTGTGCGCGTCCCTGTAGGCTGCCGCCTGCTGCATGCTCCCGGACTCTGAGTGCGGCGGCGGCGCGCTGCTGGGGGTGGTGAGGACGCTGTAGTGGTTGGACGTTGCGGTCGCCATAACTATCGGAGCCAGAGTGATAGCTGGAGTTAAAAGGAGGCTGTCTTTGACAGTAACTCTTTTGCGCCACGGGGCAGCGAGGCGTCTCTCTCCAGCATCTCCCGGGCGCTTTGCCAAGGGGACGCAGAGGCGCGCACCTGTGGTCCGCCTCGCTCCGCTCTTTATTGGCCAAGAACGGTTGACAGATGTGGTTACCCCTGACAGCACCCCGCTCATTGGTCACGGGAGATTGTACAGAAACCCCAGTCACTCTGCCCAACAATACTAGTAGTCCTGCAGCATACTAGAGTACAAAGTGGAGGAAGAAATCGGGGTGTCGAGTGTAAACAGAAATGAGCTCAGCTATACAATTAAAAAAACAGGGTTTGAAAGTGGCTTAGCATGATTCTGGGTCAGTTGGTCAAATGTAATCGTTTGGAGCGTCAAAATGGTGCGTAAAAGTTGCACAAGGTACATTCAATTTACACATTAATTGATGTAGTGGCAACAGTTATGCACCCAAGAACAGAACTTTTTGGGCCCAAAGTCTCAAAGAATTTAAATTGATCCAGTGTTCATTCAAGTGAAGTAGAATATTTGGTATATTTTGCGCCATAAAACAGGAATGCTCATCAGGAGAAACTTCCAGCTGCCTCTGTGCCCTCAGGACGCGGTCCAGAGAGAGTAGCTGCGTGCTTCCAGGCCTCTGCCCCGTTGCCATGGCGAACACGTTGAATGGAACAACAACGCCCACGTCACAGCTGCAATTCGCTCCTTCTTTTCGTTCCGTTCCAGAGGGCTCATTGGGGCCGCGCGCACCGCCATCGGGACAAATAATGGGGGGCGAGCGGAGAGGGCAGCTCGGGGCCAAAGAGAGGAGGCTTCAAGAATGGGTCCTTCAGTCTGCTCTGCGCCTATCGTGCCCCCTTCCACCTGCTTGTTGGGTAAACTTTGAGATGGATGTACCCACAACGGCACGCGAGGCTTGGTCTCCCAAACCTCCAACCAGAAAAGCAGGCGTTGAATGTCAATGTCTGGACAAGAAAAAATGATCTCCAATGGACAAAAATAGCGATACTAAGAAGGGTTTTATTTGATCTAAATATAATGCAGTAGTGGAAAGTTACAGTCTGCTTTCTTGTGCTTTAAGTATTTTATTATACTTCTGCCCAAAATCATTTTAGAGATGAATATAGCACCTTATTCCTCTTTTTATTTTACAGATACTCTTCCTAGTTTATTAACAAAACAAAAAAATTAACTTATATGATAAGATGCCATAAACTACCCAAAAATAACCTATAATAAATTGCTGCTTAATCAATAATGCATCATAAATAGCTAGACATCAACATCATAATCTAACAGTGTCAAACAGGTCATTTGGCATGATGAGTACTTTCATTTTCAGTTTTTATTTTTGGACATTTAGCTGATAATTGTTTTTACCTGATTTTGAAGGCAGGGAGGAGGAGTCTCATTTTCTGCTAAGTGTCGAGATGCAGAACTGTATTACCGAATAACAGTATTGTTGACTAGAGAATATTCATCAAAGCACTAATTTTGCAATATCTGCCGGTCCTATCTGTAAATGAATGCGATGATATTGAAATTAAACTAATTCTCATTCAGCTAAGCCCCCTGAAACCCTTATAGACCCCTGGGGGGGTCCCTGGACCTAGTTTGGCAACTACTGGTATTTAGGAGATGTGATTTTATTGGCTCAAAGTGGGACACCGGCTGTAAAACATAACAGCTATTAGGAGGTTAAAGGAACCTCGAAGGACAAAAAATCTGCAAGTTTCACCTTCAAACTGAGGTGCTATGCAACATCATGGGCACCAGTGAAAATATCTGAAAAGGCAGAGTCACACCCACTGAATAGAAAAACAATAATGTTTATTAACAATCTTTATTAAAGACCATACTACAATAAAGTCCCTCAGAGGAAGTGCCAGGTTAATAAATGTAATCAAGCTGAAGATGCATAGATGTAAACTGACACACACTGAACTGTAGAGATCGAGAGTACACTGGCTTATGATTAGGGTGTAATTCTGAGAATTACCAAATGTGTCGCCAGGGGCTCTGGCAAGCCGTGTATTGAGAGAGGCAAAACATATTATCCTAATAGACTAATATGCAAACTAGTGGCTGCCCAATTACAGCACATAATAATGCATAAATGATGTGAGTCCTGTTCTTACAAGACGAAGAGGTCACTGTTAATTCAGTCAAAGGTGTCAACACCGGTGGCGGTTCCACACGCATACTGTCTCTGCTTCCATGTTCCTCGTTCTGTATTCAACAGTGAGAGTTAATGATGGAGAATCTGAGTGTTAAATTAACAGTAATTATATGGCCTCAGTGCTGTAAAGATTCAATTTCTTCTCAAGTCCAAGGGGCTAATTGTCCCTATGCGTAGGCAGAGAACTCTGTGAGATGTTTATGACTGAAACACCCACAGAACAAAAACAAACACACACATGCATTGAAACACCTACTGAAAAAGACATCTGTAGCTTTTTACATGTAGATTTACAGTTTTTTTTTCTGGTGCAGCACTAAAACTGCTTTCAGATCACCACCAGATGTGAAAAGCCAATTTTTTGCTCTTGTGTAAATAGCGTCACCTGCTCTCCCACATTAGTTTGAAAAAGAGTGCTTCAAGTGCAAGGTGAAACCATTTACATCAGTGAATGTTTGCCAGAAAACTAGTATTCTGGTTGCTTTCACTTTCTCCAGACCAGTATGTGACCGGCTAATGTCCCTCCCCCTGTGGGAACCCTCACGCAGGGGTAACTGGGGCAGGGGGCTTCTTTATACCGCCGGACACAGGGAGATAATGGCCATTCCTCCACAGCTGGCCCACACAATCAAAGGGAGAGGGGGCTCGGAGGAGTCCAGCTTTAACCAGGCTATTGTCTGGGCTAATTACATCTGAATGCGAGACCCCAAGAACCCACCTCCCCCCTGAGCAAAACCTGCACAGAATACCCCAAACAACCCTTCAGAGATGAGAGAGGGTGCACAGACACAGGGCACACACACACACACAAAAAATAAACCCGTAACTCCTTCATTACATCTAAACATAAGCACACAAGCATACACACACGCACATACACACTTTGGACTTGTTCATTACTCATACACACCACATCCCCAGCAGACACTCATCAAAGTGTTGTGTCTCTCTCACACACTCATATGTGGCACTCGGCATTAGATCAGATCTCAGCTTGCTGCTCTCAGAAGGGATGAGGAGGTCTTAGAGGACTTACGTTGAATAGAAAACACGATGAAGAGCCTTTCTCCAATGCAGCCCCGTAATCCCAATCTATACACTCCCTCTGCCCCCCAGCCACCAGTGCTCCCACTCCATCTGCAGCCTCAGCTCGGCACAGAGCAGTCTGTGTGTGTAAAAACTGCAAAGTAATATCAGGAAGTCCTTTTTTAAAGTGCTGTCTATCGCATTCACTACTACATTGATTCATTCTAATATTATTGACAGTGCACTGTTTGTTTTGATGCATGTCTGACAGAGAAAGAGTAGAGGGAGATGGTCCTAAAGACATTCTAGAGAAGCCTTGATTTAAATGTGTTGGCTCATGCTGAAAGTTGCATGTGCAAACAGTGTTATTAGTTTAAAATGTCTGTGAATTGTTTATTTCTAAGCTGCTGAAGCGGAGTTGCAGTTTAAGTTGTGAAACGAGGTGTCAGCTGAAACTGAAGCACTGAAAGGCTTTTGAAGTGTAAGAACTGAAAGCAGTGGAAACCAAATGAAGTGCAACCACTGAAAGCATTTTAAATTTGTTTAATTTAGCAGTTGAAAACAGTTGAAATACCAGTTGAAAGCAAATAATGAAGTGTGTAGACTGTAAATACAGTATGTGTGTACACTGTAGATAGTTGAAGTGTGTAGCTTATAGATTGTTGAAGCATCAGTAAGTTCAAGAAATGAAGAATTAGAATGTGATGGTGTCACCTACTCTAGGTTTGAATATGCCAAGCTAATGTACAAACACCAGTGTAGAATATACAGCACTAGCCCCCGTTCGCTCTTAGCTTGGTATAGATATATGGATGTATACATCATTTTCCCTGCACATGTTTCACATTTTGCTTGTGTGTGTGTGTATGTGTGTGTGTGAGACAGCGTCAGGGTTAGGGGGTCTCACTGGTGCTCAGTTTAGCATTGATTTATTCTCTTTCTCCAATTTATTTCCCTTTTGTCTGATCTGTCTCTGAGAGGACAAATGGAGGAGAAATGCCAAGCAGTCACCATCCTTCATACACACCCACCCACACACACACACACACACACACACACACATATTCATGCACATAGTGATAAACATTTCCACAAGCAGAAACGCCTTGAAATTCATATTTCTGCACAGGGTTGGCAAGCAAAAGCACTCACATACATACTATGTATCATGGTAGTATATGCACATCCCAACACATCTTCAGGCGCTGGCCAAAAGCTAAACAGCCTCAAGACGAAAAATACCTGCACACTGTGCTCCCAAAAAGGACATTTTATTGAATGCATACGATGTGTCGACTTTATAGTATGTCTTCATCAGGTGATATACGTAACTAACTTGAATATTATAGTAGATAGCATTCTCTTATATACAGTGAGCGGGAATTCGTTACATTGCTCTATTCAGATGATAACTGATTTTGGTGGTTTTGATTGCACACCAGTAGGGGATACAGAGTTAATAGCGCTGAGTTTCATGTTGTTAATATTGTGAATGATTTGATGTGTGGATCGTATACTGTAAATGTGATTGATTCGCTCTGGGTTGAATTAGGTGAAGTTATAAGCGGACTTTCTTGTTCACATGCTGACATTACCTGATAAAGACATGTAGTTGCGTTCAGTAAATCACCTTAATTTGGGAGCATTTATTCATGGTGGGTGTTCTCTGCTCTTGAGACACAGACATGTTCAAATACCTCTAAAACTCAGGTTCTTAATTTCCACCATTACTGTGCCAGACCAATCAGCATGGTGGCCATTCTGTTGAGCTATAAATTCACAACACTTCACAAGTCCCAAGGCACCAGGGCTCCTATAAGACTTCCCATGTTGTTCATATAACTGTCTTCAGAGGACCCATAAAGACATAAAGGGATGCTCCTACCACTAGGTGAGTGGTCATAATTCACCAGCAGGTATTTTTTTACCATGACACTGCTGTCAAGGTGCACAAATTCATCTCATCTCCTCCTTTATAATGTCCTACACAAACTACAGATAGGAGAGGTATGAGTGCAGTCATATTTTAGAGGCAGCTTGCTGTCACATCCTTCTGTAATGGTTTGGTTTTGGAGGAGGAGTGTGTGGGCTTGTGGGTACAAGCATAACACTTCGTGTCATTTCTGCTTTGAGGTGTAATAACAAACCTTACCCTTTACTTCCCAAGCTGAAAAAGATTGCATCGGAAACAGGGGAGCGAGGGACAGAGGAGGGGCAGGTAGGTCATTAAACCCACTTGAAAGCTCAGCACCTTGATCAATAGGCATGGGCCAAGAAGGGATTAGAATTGGGCTAAATCTGCTCTAATCAATACTGATGGCTAACCCTGGGGTTAGAACAGGAGTAAATCTCCATACATGTCCATACACAAGTCTACACTACGTCTACAGTAAAGATAAATCTACAGCTGCCCATGCAAATGGACACACAATGGGTTACTGTGCAAGCATAGTCAATATGAATGAGTGCTGTATCGGCCTTAGGCAGCGATGTGTTTAGTCATATCTTCGTGAATATACACTCTGTCTAGTTAGATGATTGAGACAGTAAATTTGGACTCATTGATGGGGACAAGTAGAGTGAGTCAAGCTCTCATAAATGTGTTTGAGGAGGGGCCAAATGGGTTTTTGTGTGAAAGAGTGAGAGAAAGAGAGAGAGAGAAACAGTCACTTTTGTTTCTATGTCTGTGCGTATACACAAAGCAAAGCAATAATGGAGGAGAGAATGACTTATAGACAGAGCTGACATGGATGATTGACTGTTTCACACCCTAAGATGGATATCACCGCTTAGATTGATCTTACAAGCACAAGTCTGCGTATCAATTACTGATACTGATCGGTGTAGCTATGGACAAATAAGGGCAAGGAACACTGTTGCACATATATATTCTGATCAGCTAATTCCACCAGGGTTAAGATTTATGTCTCTTTATTAAATTATTATCTGTTTCCGCTAATCATCAGGGACGGACTTCTGACCACAAATGGTCGTCAGCCTAGGACTGAAGGAAAATTGGTAATGTTTAAAAGGCTTGTTTAACATTTTGGAAAATATGTTTGTTTGCCTTCTTGCTAAGAGTTAGATGAGATGATTGATACTAGCATAAGTATATTTCCCAAAATGTAAAACTATTCCTTTAAGCATTATCAGTATAAATGTTGCCCTGGGCTGAAGACTACTTTGTGCTCAGAGGTACAGTATCTTTATTTTCCTAAACGAGATTATTCTTGTGTATTAGGTTAACGCAAAGACTGGAAACAGCCTAACATAAAGGCAGAGTTCGCAGTTTGTACTCTTTAGTTTTTAGGTAAATAAACAAGTTATAAAGAGGTAAATAATGTACATAACAGCTGCTGATAGGTGGATTTAGCAAGCTTTTAACACAGCTAGGATAGTTGTTTCTCCTGTTTCCATCTTACTGTTGTAAGATAAGCTAACAGCTAGCTTTATATTTTCTACTATATTTACAGGCATAAGTATGGAATCAATCCCCTCATCTAAGTCTGAGCAAGAAAGCGTTAGTGTGCCCTGAAATATTATTGACATGCCTTACATCAAAAATATTTATCCTAATAGAGTGTTTTGTCCAGTGCTGTAAGACATTTTCTCTCTTAATTGTTTACATGTGAACAACTGAACTTGATACACAGTGACAAAAACCTGACACCAATACCCTAAACGCCTCAATTTTCTAAAAATACAGGCATATTTTCTGCTTTTCACCCAAATGGCAATCCTAAATCACAGTTTTTTTCACATACACTGCACAAAATTCACTGCATTTGGCACATTCTTTATAACGAAAGTCTCTTGTGTTCATGTGGACA